GCACGTGAGGAGGAGTTGATGAGGGCGCAGACGCGTCTAGGGGAAGCGGAGCTCCGTATGCCGGAAGAGGCAGAACTTCGCGCCAGTCGGGAGGAGGAAAAAACGCGCGGCGCTGGCGGAGTCTGTGCGGTTGCTGCGTGAAGCCGAACAGCGAGCAGAAGAACGCATCCGCCGGGCACGTCAAGAGGCAGAGCGATATGTTGAGCAGGAAGTGAGTCGATTACGGGATGCAAATGAGCGGCAGGCAACACATGCGGCGGCGCTGCGGGCGATCGAGGAGGAAGAAAAAAGTGCGGTGGTTGAGGCGAAACTGCGGGCAGCGGAACATGCATTGAGGGAGGCGGAAAGACGCGCTGCGGATGATGTACGCCGTGCCAAGGCAGAGGCAGAGGCATTTGCGGCGGCAGAGGCGCAGCGTGTTGCCCTCGAGGCGAAGCGGCAGTTGCAGGAATACCGAGAACAGCAGGAACAGCAGTTGCGACAGAAGGACCTCGAGGTTCAGCAGAGACTGCGTGGTATTGAGCAACAGGCGCAGGAAGCCATTTTGGCGGCAAAAGCGGAAGCAAGTCGCCTGGCGGAAGAGGCGAAACGTCGGCTAGAGGAGTTGGAGGCCCGTCGCGTTGAGCGGGCGGCGGCTGTTGACGCCGCCAAAGTGAGTGTGCGTGCGGCTCAGCAGCGCATGCGGGAGTTTGAGGAATCTCGGGAATCAACGCCTCAGCAGCCGCCATTGGCGTGGCCTGTGGAAACAGCAGCTTCTACCGCCGAAGCTGCCACGGCGGCGGTGATAAAAGGACCAAAGGAGGAAGGGAAGGATGGGTATACCCTCACTGCGGTGCTTTGCACCAATGTCATTCGGGCCGCCATTCGTGGGGCAGTGGAAGAAGTTGTGAAGGCGACAAAGAAAGCCTGGTATCTATCTGAAGAGGCGGAGCACAGACTACGCACGGAGCGACGACGCATGCGGAGACGACAAGCAGAACGCGATCGAGCGGAGAAGGAGTTGATTAATGTCGAGAAAAAAAGCATTCTGTGGGGAGAGGAGGAAGAGCAGGAGGAGGAAGAGGAAAAGGAATCCAAACATCGGGTTGACACCGGGGATGACAAGGAGGCTTTCAGTACACCGCTGAAGCAATCGACAAGGCGTCAGTATCATAAAAAACGAGAAGAGAAACAAACAGTTCGTCTGCAACCTCCTGCTGATGACGGTTGCGGTGTTTGCTACCGAAAAGATACAGTAAGCCCCTGTGTGAAATGTGATTCGCAGGTGTGTCTGTACTGTGGCCCCGCTGCTGTCCACAGCGCATGTTGTGAAGAACACCACATCAATGTTATCAACGCCCACCGCCGTCATTTGTCAGGGGAGCCACAAAAAGAGAAGCAAGAAACCAAAGAAGTGGAAAGAGAGAATGGAGATGACTCATCTTTGTGGGAAGTGGAAGAAGTGGTGGCCGTGCCACGAAAAGATGAAGTTGGGAGGTCACCGCTTGGTGTTCGTCGGAAGTTGTTGCCTGACGATTATGATGAAAAAGAAGAAAAGGAGGATCAGGAAAGCGAAGCGAAAGAGGTCGAGTCACCTGGAAGCGTGGAAGAACCCAGGACAGTGCGAAAGCGGTACGAGGCCTTTTTTGTTCCGCTATCCCGCGATGCGGAGCCGAGGCGGCCGAAGCCGCCGACGCCAAGAAATTACGTGCCGGGTGTCTTTGCCGCAAAGTACAAACACAAAAAGGCGGAGAGGAGGTGCAGCCCGCCCGTACGGCGTGCACGCGCCAACAAACACATGAGCGCCGCTGCTGCTGAGGAGGTGCAGCAGTCGCAGCGACGATTCCCCAGGAATGGCCTCAAGGAGCATCTGGCAGCAGCCCATAACAACCAAAAACAACAGCGCCCGGAGTACCCACGCCAACCCTTCGCTTCGTTGAATCCACAATTTAGGGAGCCGCCCCCTGTCCGCGCTGACTCGCGGCTGCGCAGACGCGAGGCCGAGCGTGTCGTCATGGAGGACCCGCTTTCTGCCTTTGGAAGGGCACCCTCTCCGAGTCATTTGGGAGTTCATTTCCCCGCCAAAACAAGACGCCCATCGCGAAGCATGATGGGGCGCATTTCTCCCTTTGAAGCATCAATTGAGCTCGCTAAGGGCTTTGACGACTTTGCCCACCGCGACCCCACCGGCCTTGAGCGCACTTACTATGATGGAAAGCCTGTACGACCTATTAAACGGGATTATATGTCTGATGATCTGGCAGACTTAAGTAACCGCTCCAGTGTACGAAGGCAGCATCAAGAACAGTACAGATCACGGGCAATGGAGTTTAGAGAGGAAGAGGGACATGTAAACGTCAGTCGTGAACGCGTGTTCGTTACGAGTTACCATGAAGTGCCTCTTTACATGGGAACACAACGCAATCACGAATCGTTGCCGTATAACTCACATCAACGTGAAGAGTGCAATGTGCGCACCACGCCAACACTACATGAGTTAGATCAGCGTCTTCGGCACCTTAGACAGCACCGCCTCTTTGATCGTGTTTCTCAACGCTCCCCTGACCGTCACTGTTCACGTCATCACTTCAATCAGGAGGGTGAAATTTACTGCGGCTGCCATAATGCAGGATCAAGTAAGATACGGCGGCCCACACCATGCTCCCATGATCCTTGTATCACCGTTCACCTCTTTCCTGACACCCGTATTCCCACAGCAGCAGCCGGACCAATGAAAATGACACGCGGAGGAAGCAGCCGGCGAAATACCAGCCGTACTGATAGACGTTCAACGCTTCGGGTTGTATCACCGCCATGGCGAACAGAACTCAATTCTGGACCACTGCGACCGTCGTGGAGTTTTGAGCAGCCGCACTCATTTATAACAAAGTCATACAAACGAACTTTGTTGCCGGTCGAACCGTGAGTGAGGGAGAAAAAGGCATCTCTCCACCCTTTCCTCTCTTTCTCTTTCTTGCTTTCTCTCTCTCTGTGTGTGCGGCTGTGTGTAGGTGTACGCACACGGCGTGTGGGGTTTTTTGTTTGTGTGTGTATAGGATGTGTGTGGGGGGGGCGGTGGTACGCGAGAGAAAGCAAGAGAAGAACAAAGATATAGAAAAAGAAAGCCGGTGTTGTCAGAGAAGTGTGGGACTGACACATGTGAAACAAGGAGAAATTTATATTTATATATATATTGTATTCATCCCATAAATTCCCTCCCCTCTTGTTGTTGTTTTTGCATTTTTAGAAATATGGGAGAACAGTGTTTTTGGCTCTGCCCATGCTTTTTACTCTCTTTCTTACCTAATAGCATTCCCTGTTGCTTCTCTTGGTCAACGCCACGACCACGACGAAGTTGCTGTGGCTGTGCGAGTTGTTCTAGTGCATGCACACCCAGCACGCATGCACTCCACTCTAGAGAGAAATAAATTAAAAAAGTGAGGGATGATGAAATGGTGGGGGAAAAGAGAGAGGTGGAGCAATTTTATTATGGGGTAAGAATCATAACTTTTCACAACGTGCGTGTTGTGACCTCTGCTTGAATAAACGGATGCACACGCTCACGCACTGAAGGAGAGTGGCATTTTTTTTTTTTTGGAATGTATTTACCTATTGACACCAGAACTGAAAGGGAAAATGCTCTCCGTCTGAGTTTTACGCCTACTGAAGTCCCTGAAACCTTTTTTTTTTTTTATCTTTCGGTTTCTGAATTCTTTGGTGAGGTGCATGATTGCATGTGTGCGTTATATATATATATATATACATATATATATATATGAATGTACATACATGTGTATCTGCTCGGGCTGTACGTTGCTGGTGTTCTTTCTCCCGTTTTGTTTTGTTTTTTGCACTGCGGCCCTGTGACGAGTCGCTCTGTCTCTCATTATTCATGTGTGCCCTTCTTCTTCTTTGGCTATTCCCATATAAACACAACTATGATGATGTGTTCTGCGTACATGCGTGCCCCTGTTGAAGTATACCCAAACAAAGCTATTCTTCTTATAGGCCATTCAATAAACACATAAAAAAGAAAGACATCAATACAACAATAACAAAAAAAAAAAAAAAAAAAAACAGTGTGAAAAAAAGAATTGATTGCTTTGAAACACAAACAATCAAAAAAAACAAAGAGAAGAAACAGAAAAAAAGGGAAAAAGATTAACAGACATCATGGCGGTTGTCCAGACACATTGCTTCAACTGGATGGACCATGATGGTACCAGGTCCGAGACGCTCAACTTGGCCCTGTTGCGCCACAGCGACACGGGCAATCTGCGATACAGCGATTACCGGCAGCGGCAGGAGGTAGTGGCTGATATCAGCATGCGTCTGAAGATTATCAAACGTGAGCTCGGCCTTCTGCCCCCGGAGGAAGAAGTGGAATGGAACGAAAACAAGGGGCAACCGGAGGATCTCTATGTGAGATTGGACGACGAAGAGAGCGAAGTTTTCTTGCAGATCCAGGAACGACGAAAGAGGCTTTTCGCACTCTTGGAGCGTCCAATTGAAGGCACTGACGAAAGCGATGTGTACTACTACCCTGGCACGCCGGCAGATGAGATGCAAAGGGAGGCCGCGGCTCCGTTTGCCCTTTGTGTGCAATCGCTGCTTGTTCAATTTGGCGAGACGTTTGTTTCGTACCTTGACGGCAGTGAGTTTTTGACCCTGTCAAAACTTGTACAACACAACGAGGCACGTCGTGGTGAAGTGGAGGCCGCTGCCGAGGAGGCAGGCGTTTTGCTCCCGTCGGAAAGCGAATTCGATGTGACTTCTCTCCACGCCGCACTCGAAAATCGTGAGCAGGCGCGGATGAAGCTCGACGCCGTGCGGGCAGCAAGCGACCCGAGTTACGCAGCCAAGTTTGTTCGCGCGGAGGAGCGCGACAACAGCGGTCAGCCCATCACGAACGTGTCGCCGGAAGA